CACCTGGTGAAGGAGATGAAACCCCCCCGAACGCAGCAGGAGTGGGAGGCCGAGTTCCAGAAGTACCAGCAGTTCCCAGAGTTTAAAATGTGAGTGTGCAAAACTGGAAGGAGGGTGGGCTGAGAGCATCCCTCCCGCGACCGAGCCACCCATACACCTCTGGTAAGGAAGGAAATGTCTCCTGAAGTCACTGGGAAGGCGCACAAAGCCTCCTGGTGGTGGCTCCTCTGCTGTTGTCTGGGAAAGGCCATCCCATGCCGTGCAAAGTTCAGTGGGGGGCTGTGAAACAGTTGCTTTATTGTCCCTTAACAGCCTGAACCACGACATGACGCTGCCAGAGTTCAAGTTCATCTGGTACATGGAGTACTCTCACCGCATGTGGGGCCGCGCCGTGGGCCTGGCCTACCTGCTGCCCGCCGCCTACTTCTGGCGCCGCGGCTGCCTCAGCCCGCCCCTCAAGGGCCGCGTGGTAGCACTCTGCGCGCTCGTCTGCTTCCAGGTGAGCCCTGACAGCCTCTGAGGCCACTGAGTGACCCCACAGATCGTCTGCTTTAGCCCCCTCTGAATGTCACTGAGTGACCCTAAAGATCATCTGGTTTTAGCCCCCTTTGAATGTCACTGAGTGACCCCACACATCATCCCGTTTTAGCCCTCTCTGAATGTCACTGAGTGACCCCACAGATCATCCAGTTTTAGTCCTCTCTGAATGTCACTGAGTGATCCTACAGATCATCTAGTTTTAGCCCCCCTGTCTCTGAATATCACTGAATGACCCTACAGAACATCTGGTTTTAGCCCCCTCTGAATATCACTGAGTGACCCTAAAGATCATCCTGTTTTAGCCCCCCTGTCTCTATAGGACACAAAACAACACAAGCACACACACCATTGCTCTCAAGGTGAAGTAAAAAAGGGAAGTTTATTTTCTGACCCCAACATTTATAGTTTTCCAAAAGTGACAGTGGATTGGAGGGTCAAAGTGCCATCTTTCCAATGACACTGAACATCAACGGTCCATCAAATTTCTCCTCCTCCATAAAAGAATGCAAAACAATAAGTTATTTATAGAAAGTGTGCGAGAAAGTTTGCTACAAGAATGTAAACATCAGAAGGCATAGAAAATCTTAAAAAATAAGGGCGACACCCCCCTCTGAATATCACTGAATGACCTTACAGATCATCCAGTTTTAGCCCTCTTCTGAGTATCACTGAATGACCCCAAAGATCATCCAATTTTAGCCCCTGAACCAGAGATATCTTTTACTGGGCCAGTTTGCTCAGAGCTCCATCCAACCTGACCAGGGATGGGGCATCCACAACTTCTCTGGGAAACCTGTCCCAGTGCCCACCACCCTCACTATAGTGGATATTTTTGCCCCGAACGAAGGAGAGGAGGAGGAGGATTGATGATGAAGAGGACTCCATTGATATCAGAAGGCTAATTAATTACTTTATTATACTATATTATTGTATACTCTATTACATTATATTACATTACATCGAAAGTGAACCTGCCAAGCACCCAACTGCACACACTGCCCAGAATCTTGTGACTGTCAGTGACAGTCCTGACACACACACACACTTGTTCCTGATAGGGCAAGGAAACAAAACATCATCACTTTGGGTAAACAATCTCCATATTGCATTGTACTTTTGCACAAACACAGGCACAGCAAATGAGATAATAATTGTTTTTCCTTTCTCCGAGGTTCAGAGAATGTGGAACCCAGAAATATTCCTGGGAAAAATCGTGCCTTGCATTTCTCTGTGAAGAGAAATGTGGTGACACCTCACAGCACAGAATTTTTTGCCAATATCTAATCTAAACCTGCCCTCTGTCAGTTTGATATCTTCTGATTCAGCATAACTAAGACAGTGGGATTCATGATAGCTTGGTGTCAGTGACACCATGACAGTGTGTCAGTGCTGGTAGCTAGTTGAAAGTAGAGGAAACAAGTTGCTTTGCCCCTAATGTTCATCCCATTTTAGTAGCTGCTGCTGTCCTGTCTGGGCCTGAGCCCTCTCCTGTTTTGTTAGGGGCTGCTGGGATGGTACATGGTGAAGAGTGGGCTGGAAGAGAAGCCAGACTCGTACGACATCCCCCGGGTCAGTCAGTACCGCCTGGCAGCACACCTGGGCTCAGCACTGCTCCTGTACTCTGCCAGCCTGTGGACAGGGCTGACTCTGCTGCTCCCACAACACAAGGTAAGCAGTGGTGTCTCAGGGCAGTTCAGAGGGCTGGGGTGTGATGTGAAGGAAAGGAAAGGTTGTGAAGGCTGATGGTGTCTTCTCTTGTAATCTCTGTTCCTGACTTTGATCTAATCCTTACAGTGTTACAAATACCCATTCTGTAAACTTCTTATGACTATGGGACACTTGCTTTGGCTCATGCTGTTCAGGTCAAAGTGATGAGTTTCAGAATTTGTGGAAGCTCAGCCAAGGGTGTGCCTGGCTGGGGTAAATTATTTGTGCCAGTAACTGTCCAGGGGCCACTTCAGTTTCTGCACAGAGCTGGACTTGATTAGCTGTGGTTTTGAGACATCACTGAAGCATGGCTGCTGTGTGGTGGTCTGTAAAATCCCCCTCTAAAACACCTTGGCCTGTATATTTTGTGAAGGCTTTTCTTAGCTGCTGCCAACATCACTGCAAATGCCTTGATGATTTCTTTTTCTTTTTTTTTTTTTTTGTTTTATTTTACAGTTGCCAGAAACCAAACAGCTCCTTCGCTTGAGACAATATGCTCATGGCACTACAGCTCTCATTTTTCTGACTGCTCTTTCAGGTAAAGCTCTTTCTGCTGTCCAGTGTGTACACCAGTTTGTACTCATTCCTCTCTGCTGGTTTGGGGTTTTTTTTCTTCTGTTCTGTGAGCAACCCCATCGATTCTCTGGGAAAACTGCTGGTGTCAGGGATCTTACAGTCAAGAACCTCCTCACTGGTCTTTCCTGGGCAGGTGGAGAGGCACCTTCCAGCCTTCCTGTGCTGTGTGATCTCTCTATATCTTGCTAAATGAAATTCAGGATCAAGCTGAGCTCTTGAATGAGAGCTGTGCAACCTGGAGTGACACCTTTGTCTACTCTGGTAGTCTCATTTTCTGCTCTGGGATTGCAGGTGCCTTTGTGGCAGGGCTGGATGCTGGCCTTGTGTACAATTCCTTCCCCAAAATGGGGGAGCGCTGGATCCCAGATGATCTCCTTGCCTTCTCCCCCGTGCTCAGAAATATCTTTGAGAATCCTACAACTGTCCAGTTTGATCACAGGATCTTGGTAAGTGCTGTCTTCCTGATATGTCTGGGCTGCTTCTTGGTTGTCTCCTGCAGCCAAGCTGTCTTCTTTGGGCTGTGGTTCTGTCAGCTTGAGTGATTTCCAGGGTGTCCAAAGGGCATGAGAGCGTCTTACCAGTTTGCTTCTGCAGGAAGAGGAAGTTTAGCATTGTTTTTTATTTTCAGTGTGGCCTTCTTCCTTAAGGAGCTCTTCCTCCTGCGCAAGTAACACGCTTTGTTTCTCTGATTCTCCTTTTCCATAACATGAGCTACAGTCTGGGGTGGCCCTTGCTATTGAAATGTCTGGGAAAGGTGTGTGAAATCAAACTTGGAAATCCTGATATTGAATGCTTCCTGCAGCATTTCTGAACTTGTTTTGCACAGTAGTGCCCTGTGAGTACATCTCAGCTAGGTAGAGCAATCCAGATATTAAATGCCACTGGCAGCCCTGCTGTGAACTAAGCTGTAGGTAAGACTAAAAAAAGAAAGATTAAGCTGGATCACCTTGGGTGACCTACACAGCAAGATTGTGCTGGTGAACTACAGCTGAGTGGTGGAAGTGAGATCAGTTTTCCAGATGACAGCTTCCACCTTCACTTGTGAAGGTGGCAGCTGGCGAAGGGGCCGACACAATCTCTAATGACTTGAATTAATGAGGAGAAGCTGTTGAAAAGTAAAGCATTCATTTGGAGGAAATTAAAAGTGTCTGTAACTTCACTTAAATTTCAGGGTTGTTAACTTGATGGTGTGGGAGCTCTAGGATTTGGTCATGGCCATTAATACATTTCTTTAGTTAAATACTGCTCACACAATTTCTTTTACTGCATGGAAGGCAGTAAAAGGTCACTGCACCTATTTCCCTTGAACTTTCATTGAAGGGTGGTTGTTTCCCTTCCCTTCTGTAGGGAATTGCCTCCATCACAGCTGTCACAGCACTGTACTTCTTCTCGAGGAGGATCCCACTGCCTCGAAGGACCAGGATGGCTGTGACTTCCTTACTGGCTGTAGCTTGCATGCAGGTACTGTCCTTATTTTTTTCCTACTCCTTTACAGCACGTTCACAAGGCAGACCTGACCCCACTTGGATCTGTGCTGGCTCCAAGAGTCCAGAGCTGAGAGATGGAGGTGCCTAGACCCCACACCTCACCATACTGCATGCACACTCTGAATTTGGGGTGGCTCATGGTGTCGCTGTGACCCTTTCTAACAGCACACTTTGTGCTGGGCATGGTATCCGTGGTGCACCCACAACTGCTCTGACCTCTTCTCCCTCTTTGGCAGGTGGGCCTGGGCATCAGCACCCTGCTGCTGTATGTCCCTACGCCTGTGGCTGCTACGCACCAGTCGGGCTCCCTGGCCCTGCTCAGCATGGCACTGTGGCTCATGAGCGAGCTCCGCAGAGTTCCCAAGTAACGCCCCGGCGGGGGAGCCCTTCCTTCCTCCTGGAGCGGCACCGCCGGACGCAGGGGCGGCCGCGCCCCGAGCCGCGGGTGCGCAGGGCGGAGTGCGCCCGGCCGGGCTGGCCGGGGCGGCGGGTGCGAGTGCGAGCTTTGTAACATAAAGGAGTTTGTGAAGCGCCTGTGTCTGCCTGGGTGCTCCTGCGCGGAGCGAGCTGCGGAGCCATGCGGGGGCCGGGCCGCGCCGAACCGAGCCGAGCGGATCCGGGCCGGGCCGAGCGCATCGGCCAATGGGAGGCGCGGGTTGGCGGCGCGGCGCGGCGGTGGGCGGGGCGCGGCGCGGCGGAGGGCGGGCGCAGTCCGGTGCGGAGCGGCCATGACGGCGCACAGCTTCGCGCTGCCGCTCGTCCTCTTCTCCGCCTTCTGGGGCCTCGTGGGCATCGCCGCGCCCTGGTTCGTGCCCAAGGGGCCGAACCGCGGGTGAGTGGGGGCTCCTCGGGGGGTGCCGCGGTCGGGGGTTGTGGAGCTGGGCCTTGCCGTGCTAACGCCGGTGTCTCCGCAGGGTGATCATCACGATGCTGGTCACCACGGCCGTGTGCTGCTACCTGTTGTGAGTACCGCGGGCCGGGCCCGGGACCCTTTCCCCACCTCCCCTGCCTTCACCGAGACCGGTGGCTGCTGCCCAGCATCCTCCATGGATGGAGGCTGGTCCCCGGGCTGCGGCCCGCCTCCCTCCCGGGCCCATCGCTCCCGGGGCAGCGGCCGCTCCTGGTCCTGCCGGGGGCTGACGGTGGGTTGCGTCCCTTTGCAGCTGGCTCATCGCCATCCTGGCCCAGGCCAACCCCCTGTTCGGGCCGCAGCTGAAGAACGAGACCATCTGGTACGTGCGCTTCCTCTGGGAGTGAGCATCCCTGGGAGCTGGCGCCTCAGCAGAGACCCCCACCAAATCCATCACCGTGAGTGGCCAGGGAGCTGGGATGGCAGATGTCCGTGCCTGCCTCTATTTGCCTGGGGAGGGAGCTGCAGCTCAGCCCTTGCTGGGCTGGGGGAAATGCTTTGGCTTCTGTGCCTTGTGGCTGTGCTGAGCTGGTCCCAGCGTGGGGCTGCTGGCTGTGCGCTGGGCCTGAGCACAACAAGCACTGTAGTTCTCAAATTTGTGGGAGCTCCCTCGTGAATGCTGTTTGGTGCTAACTTCTCTTCCTTTCTCCCTCCCCCAGCTCTTGTAGTTGTTCCAGCCTCTCCCCTCCTGTACCAAACAGCCCCCAGAGGTGCTGGACAGAGGCTGGACCCGCTGCCCAAGCACACCTGGAGCACTGCAGCCTGGACCGATGGATGGCTGGGCCCCCAAGCACAGCAGACAGCATCCCTGGACAAGGGCCTACCGATCCAGTCCTAGGAGCAGCCACGCTACCAGGGAGAGATCCCTTCAGCTGGCCCAGGGCTGCGGTGACCGGGCACCATCCTGTGAGGGATCTGTGTGTGGTGCCAGCCAATCTTGCCCCAGCAGTGCTTGTCCTGCCCTCTTGGTGTGTTCAGCCCTGGCCTCCACGTGAAACCCCTGCTCGTAGCCCAAGCTGCCCCACTAGTTGCCCTGTCCCGGTCATCACATCCTCTGGCTTCTGTCTGCATGAGAACACAGGAGCCATTGCATCCCTGTGGAGTGAGCAGTGCCCTGGGGTGGGGCTGGTCCCTGCTAAGGCAGGTTCTGGCTGTGGGTGCAAGAACAAAGGGTTGACCCTGGAGGAGCATGCAGCATCCCCCTGGGTGTGGTGAGGGAGGTGCTGGGGTCTGCTGGCAGGGTTGAAGAGAGGGCTGCCTCCCACCTGAGCAGTGAGGCAGCTGCAGTAGCGTTTAGGTATCTCCACCACAAGATGGGTCCGGGTTGTGAGAAGAGCCAAGCAGGGCACTGTGTTTCAGGTTTCCCCTTATTAGATAATTTATCTGTATTTATTTATTTATTTGTCTGTGTCATTTAACTTGTGTTGTGGAAATAAACCCTTTTTCTAGTAAGTCATGCTGGAGGCTGAGTCCCTTGCTGCTTTGAGGCTGAGCAAGAGTCTTGGCCTTATTCAGATGCCTTTCCTTTTCCCAGCACTGTTCCTGCACCATGAGAACAAGGCTGGGATCCTCAGCTGTTGAGCAGGTCAGCAGCACAATGATGCATGGAAAGTTTTATCCTTGATGGCACCTGTGTGCTCATGCTGTGAGACCAGGGTCACAGGGATGGAACTGTGTGTGCTGAGAGAGAACTGGGTACTTGCCCAGCTTCTTGCAGCTGTGCTGGGACCATTTCCGTGGTGCTGGAGCAGCTCAGCAGCCTCTTTGCCAGGCAGCTAAGACTCAGGTGGGGAATGAAGTAAAAAGCAGAGACCAGCATCTTGGAGGGGCTCCAAGTGGGCAGGATTTTCCTCTTAGCAAGAGGGCAGCAGAGGATGCTGTTTCCAAGGATCCCAGCAGTTTGGTTTGGTTCAGAGCTCCCCTTGCTGCTACCAGCTCAGTTAAGCTCAGTCCTGCTGGAATCAGAACAATACTGGCAGGAAAGGAGCTCCATCATCCCACAGTGGCAGCAGGAAGCAGCAGCAGAGCTGTGCAGCCATGCAGCCACCCTGCCATGCCCTTAGCCAGGAGCCATCGCTGCTGGGAGCCGCTCACCAGGAAAGGAGACAGTGCTGGATGGCTCAAGGGGTTTGTTTATTGCTACAGGAATGGGAACAGCTGAGTTCAGTAAAGTGACAAACTTCATTGGACCACTGGTGGGGCTCCAGCCCCAGGGAAGGTTCGTGCCTGTGTGCACAGCTCAGCCCTGGCCTGTCCTGGGGCTGAGAGCTGGGCTGGGCTGGGGGGGCTCTCCCGAGGGCAGGCCCAGCCCACCCTGGTGGAGCAAAGAACCACAGGTCCTGACACTGGTGCCTGGGACAGCACAGGGCAGCTGTGCCCAGGAGGGAATGAATGTGTGAAAGGAGACAGCCCACTTTGGTGGTGCCTCAAGAATCAATCAGTGAGCCCTCAGGGCTCAGTCTGGGATGTTGGGTAGGATTGTCCTCAGAGAGAAGACATAGCAAAGAGCAGGACACCCCTTCAGGAACACTCCAAGAGGGGCCAGGCTGGGCAGAGCAGCCTGGTGGAACTCGTGGTTTACCTTGCTCCTGCAGTGATTAGCTGGTGTCTGCTGCTCTCTCAGCCCCAGGGTTGTCAGGGCCTGCAGAAGGCCACCCCAGGTGATGAACCACAGCAACCTGGTGGCTGAGTCATGGGGTGGCTCAGTACTTCAGGCCAGAGCTCTGGGCTGGCTGCCTCAGTGATAGCGTCCTGTTATCTGAGGGATCTGCCAAGGCTGCAGCCTTGAGCCTGCTGGTGGCAGAGGACTTTGCTCTACACCATGTAGTGAGGCAAAGGCCAGAGGCCAAGGAATGAAAAGATTAGGACTGGGGCAAGGTGGAGAGGAAAGCTCTCGTGTCCATAGCTGCCTCAGCCCACGGACTCCGGCTCTGACGCAGAGACGATGGAGCGCAGACTTTGAGATGGTCCTTAAGGAGGAGTCCAAGCTCTCGGAGCCCAGGCTGTCAGCCAGTCCTGGTTCTGCTGGTGCAATGGATGCTGGGCACCTCTGGCATCACGGCACGCTCCCCGGGCCCAGCGGCACCACCACCTTGTCCAGCCAGAGCAGCGTGCGCTGGGCCGAGCGCAGCTGCCGGCGGTGGATGCGGCGCAGCCGCAGGAGGTAGAGCACGATGGCCAGCGCCACGACCAGGATGCAGGCAAAGAACAGATAGTGGTTGTAGACAAAAGAGAGGCGCAGCCAGGAGGGGTGTGCTTGCCGGATGCTCTCCTGACGGAGATCCCTGCGGAGAGGAACAACAGGACTGGCCATGAGATGCAGTGGGGTACCCCAGGGTCCATGCAGGGCCCTCAGCAGCGCAGGTACTGCTGCTCCTCCCCAGCCACCCTCCCTGTGTGACACCACCTGATGGTACCTGAGCGGCAGAAATCGCGTCTTGTAGAGGATGGCTCCCAGGGTCCACTGCACCTCCCGGTCGTACACCAGCTGGGCCGTGCGCAGGCTGGGATAGTCCACTGGGAACTGGAAGCCCTCGTGAAGGACTTGGTACATCCAGGCTGATTTGAAGCACTGATACCTGCAGACAGAGCACACAGGAGCATCAGCCAGACACTAACAGCTGCAGCAGTGCCCTACCCCAGCAAAAGGCCCCCAGGAGGGCCAGCCACGGCACCTCCCAGCCAGTCCATTTACTTCAGCCGGTGCTGGTCAGCGTGCGCCGAGTAGAGGCCGCCACGGAAACGCTGGGTCAGCACCTCCCATCGCTGGCTGCAGTACTCCTGGGGGAAGGAGAAGTTGGGGTTCAGAGCACAGAAACCGCCCTCACTCCCAGCCCCAGCTGCCCTGGGCTGGGGCAGCACCCACCTGGGCAGCAGAGGTGAAGGTGGGGGCGCTGTACTGGCCCCCCAGGCGCAGCACGTCCTCGGTGCAGTAGAAGAACTCTGAGAAGCCGTAAAACTCGCTGTTGCTGAAGTCGATGGGCGCTTTGTAGGTCTCCACCAGGGAGACATGGCTGCCATTGGACCCTGCCAGGAGGGGCTGCAGCAGCTTTGCACAGGCCTGCCAGTCCCCTCGTCCCCTGATGTACAGGGTTTGGCCACCCCTCACCACCGTGTCCTCCAGCCCCACAGGCAGGCAGGGGTCCAAGAAGGGCATCTTGGGGCTCAGCCCTGTCTGCTGGTTGTGCAGGCTGGAAAACAGTGCAGGAAAAAATGGCAATTGCACAGGGGGTCCTATACCACCTCCCAAAAGCCTAATCTAGCCCTGTCCCACATCCAGATACCCTCTGCACCAGACCAGGCTGTGTCCTCTTGTACCCTGCAGAGCTGGTGCCTGCCCTGCCACCTCCTGCTAAGGCTGAACTCACCAGATCTGTCACACTGGCCTGCAGCTACACGCTCTGAGCACCTGCAGGGTGCAACAAGGCACAGCCCACCCCACCCAGCTCATGGGGATCTGTGCCTCTGCACAGCCCCTGGGGATCTGGAGGCAGGGGCTGCTCCCGGCACAGGAGTACCTGGGCACCAAGCCTCCACCTCTGGCGACAGCTTCATGTAGTGCTCTTGGAAGGAAAGGAGAGACAGGAGACAGGAGAGCTCGAGGTGGGGATGCAATGGAAAGATGTGCTGAGTGAATCGGTGCTGGAGGAGGGGAAGTCAGAGCAGGAAAAGCCAAAAGCCACTAGGAGGGGCCTCCCTGTAGCCTGTCACAAGGAGAGAAGGAGGAAGGCAGGGAGTTGTGGCACTGATAACACCTGCCAGGCTCGGAGAACAGCAGCAGCCAAGCCCTCTGTGCCAGCCCAGGCACCAGCTGCTGCCAGCGTGGCTGTGGGAGCTGTTATCACCACAGGCAGCTCGTGAGGCAAATCCAAGGGGAGAGCACAGCATGGAAGAACCAGCACCCCATTTCACAAGGCTCTAGTGGGGGCACCGCTGGGTGAGGCAGCAATACCGGTTGTGCACATAGGTTTGGTTCAGCACGTGCTCCTCATAGCGCTGCCGGGCAAAATTGCCCCCGAAGCCCAGGAAAGTGTTGACGTAGACGCGGTACATGTGGCCAGTGTGCTGCACGTCACAGCCCAGGTTGAATTCTGCCAGCAAGCTCTTAGCAGCCTCGTCCTGCTGACACAAATGGGTCCATGATCAGCAGCAGTCCAGGGAAGGCAGAGGCTGCTCTCGGGACCAGACACGCACCTGCTGTGGGGAGGAGATGGCCCCGGAGTCGGGCACCTCGTAGGCAATCTGCAGGGAGGCGCCTCCCATGTCGAGGATCCCAACTGTTCGTTTCCGAACCAGGGGCTTCCCCTGGTCCCCGAGTGCTACGGTGACCACTGCATCCTCCTCTGCAACCCACAGCAGCATGTCAGCAAGAGACAGGGCCTGGGGCAGCATCTTCTCCCTTCCACCATCACCCCACAGCTGCCTCAAGGGGCTCCTCCTCCCCCCGCAGGCAGACCCCAGGGGCCACCTGCAAGGATCACCTCCCAGGTCTAGGAGAGTTTCACATTTATGACAGGAGTCAGGCACTGCTGCCTGCTCCAGAGGTTGATCTTAGCTACAGCACTGGTACAAAGTCCAGCACGCTCTGCTTAGACCCTCCCAGCTGTTCTACAAGCAGCCAGACTCACCATCCTCATGATCAAACCGTCCCAGGACAAAGTTGATGCCAATCCACGCGTAGACACCTTCACAAGACAGAAAAGGTCATTACAACAATGTACCAAAGAGGAACAAGCAGTGCTTTGTGGCTGCTCCTACCTTCCTGCTTCCCTGAGATCACTTCTGCGTGTGATTTGGAGAAGAGGAAATCAAACTCCAGGGGCACATTTGTCACCAAGTCTTCCAGGATTGCAGCTTGCTGCCTGCGA